ACAATCGAGCAAAAATAACAGAACCAGTATGAAAGAAAATTAACCAAACCACTCTAATCGATCTATCTAGATTTTTTAATTTTTAATTTTTTAATTTTTGGCTTGATTGAGTCTATATAAGTAGTAAGATGGAGCCGGATAGTGTTCTTGATTTAGTGTTAACGGGAGACCTTTACAAGAATAACATCCAGCTCTGATGATGTCCATCCTTTGATGGACGAAAGCTCAGCACATTTTCACCCGAAACGAGGGAAAAAGTCTCGTGGACTACATCAAATGAGCATCGTACAAAAGCCAACCGGCTGCAGTACAACAAGATTCATCCGTCCTCATCTGGTGAGATCGAAAAACGAATCTCTTCTTCATGCACTTTCCTTCGAAATGAAGGTCCCCCTAACAATGTTATCTCAGATGATTCATAGAAACCAAATTTCTCTTCGAATCTACCATAAAATAACAATTAATGAATAATTGTCAGCAAATCTAGGTTTGGTATCACAGCTTACCAACACTCTTGCTGAGAAACCGATTCAATATATCACCCTTTCTGAAGGGCATTTGGTAAGTGTCGAGGAGGTTAATGTAGAGATGCACTCAGTTTCTCTACTGCTTAGCCTATTCTGAGTAGCATTTATTTCAACGTTTAAAGTATATTTTACGAATAGGAGTCAAGACTGGCAATTAGAATTTATTCCACGTAAATTATAGTGATGCATTACTTGACAAAATTTAAGGGATTCCCAATTGATGAAGTTTTCTGGTATCTGTGATGGTTAGTTGGGCAGCTTGATGACTATTTTTAATTGACACAATTGAACGAGTTATTACATGTACAAATGAATTAGAAGAGAATGATGAATCGCCATTTTAGGTGCTGAGTTATAGCAGAGCAGGTACAATGAAAAGTAGCATAGTCTGGCTTTTTTCCCAATTAGTTACAAGATGAAGATTGGCATGTAAAAGCCAATGATTATGAGCAGTATGGGGCATGAGGATTGGAACTATTGGGGGTAAAATGTTATGTGGGCTTAAGCAGGTACCACTTCATAAGCACCATTCTCTATGAATGATTGATGGTGGCTTCCATTTAAAAGGAGATTATTTGTCACTAGAAAGAAAGCCTGGGAGCTGTCTCCAAGTCTTCCTTCCGAATAGGTAGGCTGTTGCGTCGATCTCCGGCTCGCTGGTTGCTGAGCGCAAAGAACACATTTAAAATGAGAAAAAAATTCTCTCATCCCATCATTTTGCTGATTATGTTAAGCATTGTCTGCAAGTGTTTGGCTTTACTAAAACCCTCAGACTATCAGTCGTCGAGACGCACTCTTTCGGTTTCGAACCATTTGACTGCAATCATATCCGCACACACATACATATACACACACACACAAACGCAATCATACTTGTATACACACTTGCGTGCATATAAACACACATGCACATATATATATATGCACACTAAATCACACTAAATCATTTTTGAGAGAGTAATTATCACATACAATGACATGACAGATGCAAGCTCCGAGCGTATTTACTGGAAGCGAAATAGTGCTATTGTGGAATGCCTCGGTCAACATTTCTCTCAATATGAGGACAGCAACAGGCCACGATCAGCACAACATTCGAGATGGACGATACTTAAAATACTACTATCCGTGTAATCCCTTCAGTAGAGCATCTAGCAAAATGGAAAAAACGCAGTTTTCTATCAATTTTCAGTCCTTCATCCCCTCATGCGAACTAGGCGGAATACAGCTCTTATCTACGATCTTCTAGTAGTTTGCAAAACCATTCAAATTGAATATGTGACTTTGTTTCGCCTCCACCCGCAACATCGTCACAATCGAGATCTCAGAGCCCAGATACGTGGCTCTCTTCAGCAAATCATAGAGCTTCCGTCTGTCTGTCTGTATGTATGTCTGTATGTCTGTGTATGTGTGTGTGTGTGTGTGCTTTGAAAGGGGAGGAGGAGTCTTTGGACCTGGAGTGGGGCGTGTGTGGCGCAGACCCAGTACTACTGGAGAAGTAGTCCAGTCAAGTAAACTCTCTTGAGGGGTTCGTGCGACTCTGCAAGAGCCTGTAGAAAGCCTCTGTCTCAGACACTTGAGAGTGTCTGCTTGTCGCTTCACGATGATCCCTCAGGGCAAGCTACCCAGCAGCCTCAAGACTGTACGTGTCTTGTGTAGGCGGTGTTCATTTCTAGTGTGAGCAGTTTGCAGACCATTGCTAGCCCCATTCCTGCTCTGGTCGCCCTCTTCACGAGAGGTTATCATACCTTTGACGTACTTCTTCTCGCAGACCAGTAGCCCGGGCTGGCCCACCTCTAGTCCTGGCCCCGAGTCGACTCTCAGCAAGGCCAGTCGCGAGACCCTGCAAGTCATGCACGTTTGCGTGAGTTGCAATTATTCCACAATTGTCTTGGCCATAAGTGGGAAAAGCTAGAACCATTTTAAGGTTTCCCTGGACACCAAAAATACAGGAGAAAGGGGTCAGTGCATGCACAAAAGCAATCTCGCCCATGAATGCATGCAAGTGATGACAAAAGTAGCCGAATAGGCGTACACACAGAAACACACAAGCAAACATAAGCTATTGCGCCTGCAAATTCACATTCCGTAGCACATACACATGCACATGTACACGAACCTTCACATTCACACAAATAAGTATATAGGCCACTAATCGTAGTCTTCAAATCCTTGCAAGTGCGCCTACCCAAGCACACATACACTCATATAGCAGGAAATATGGGCACGGACACGCGTATCACATGAAAATGGGCATATGCCAACGCATAAGTCTACTCGCGCACTCATGCATGTGTTTAAGCATGCGACATGGGACTATGCAGTTACGAATACAGGCACATACAGACATTCACACACCTGCCTTTCTGCACAGACACGGTAGTGCACAAGAGTTGTCCAAAATAGATACCAAAGCCTACCAATACTTTTCTGAGGTAGATAGGAACTGGAGATTGACAGGAGTTGCCAGCTCTTGAATCAAATAGAAAGGGGCATTGGCTGGACGTGAAAGACAAGTAATGATACAAAGTACTATGAAAACAGAGATAGGGTTAGAGGGTACTGAGGAAGCAAGAGAAAGGGAAGGAGTAGAATGACAGAAAGAGGAGGGCGGAGCAGATAGGAAGATCTTTGAGAGCAGTTTGGAGAGGATTCTAGTGTCTAGAGAGGCAAAACAGAGCTGCAATTGTAGAGAGGGTGACCAGAATAGCTGAATGTGCCCAGACGAATTAGCAGGTGGCCACATTGGTTTGACTTGGCCCATATCAGGGAGTAGAGCTTCCTGTTTTTTACATACAGTAAAGAAAATAGGTCAGGCAAGGCAGTTTTATGCACACACCAATATTCCCAGCCTCATATGAACATAAATATGTCAATGTGTGGATGGGTATGTGAAAGGAAACGTACTCTGGCATACGTTTGTTGCTGTCTCTTAGCGTCTGTA